CTAAAGCAAATTGTCTCTAAATATGCTTGCTAGAACCTTCTCCTCCAGGAAATGAATGTATTGGCATTTAGGTCTTTTTTTATATATGCACATACATATATATTTAAAATCCCAGCTTTAGAAGCTTATGTTGGTGCAGCAGTCTGTGACACTGAATACAACCTGCTGTGCAAAGCAATTGCCAAATGTTTACATAAACACATAAATAAGACAAATAAATTTATTTTCATTATTCATATTTTCTGCTCTTTCATTTCCTTTTTATTTATGCTTTAAACAACTGTTACTGTAAATGTTACGATGAAAAAAATGCCTGCAGTGGACAGAAAGATGATCAGAAAGCCCTGATATAGAGCAATTCATGTTTCTTCTTTACAATCACTAACGAATCTTAACTTGAACCATGTTATGTTCCCATGTGAGTGATAAGCAATGATTTATTATGAAGTGTCATGAAATCAGAATGCCATACAGTGAGACATGAGCTAGTGGAAAATGTGTTCCCTGTTTCCCAGCCTCATTACTCAAAGATGCAGTGTCCCTTTCTCCAAGTCTAATTTACCTGGCTTTTCAGGGCACTCTGATAGCAAAGGAAACAGCACCAGGAGAGAAATGCCTGATCCAGGCTGTGCTGATCACCTACCAGCACAGCTAAACACATTGCAATGACTGGGAAAAAGGCCCTGCCTGGAAATTCAGAGCTATTGCTGTATCAAACATTTGCAACCACAATGATGCCACCCCCAAAAGCCATTGCTTAGGATTACAGCATCCGTTGCCTCATCAGTACTGTCAGCGCATGAAAAGGAAATAAAACAGGCATTGCGGAGGAGACAAACAGATAAGTTTTTTTATGCATTAGAGTTTCTTCTACTCTCTAATGATTCCCTTCTCCCCATGATCCTAATTCAAGTAACTGGCATGTGATACATTTTGTAGATAAATCAGCAGCAGAAGAGCATGTGCAGTTCTGGCACCACAGAGTAGGTGATTTACTTGTAACTCACACTGAGTGCACTGCTTTGGTTTTTAAGGTGGGGATTTGTGTTTTAAGTTCTCCCTCACAAAGACAGAAGCAAACCAGCATATTGCAGACTGATTGACACAAGCAGTCCTCCTTTCCTACAAAACTAACCCAAACAGGCACAGTCTTAGATTTTAAGCATTTTTCTGGCTCTCTCTTTAAAGGTCCTAATCCTGAAAGCTCTTGGGCTCGGTCAAATCATGGATGGAAATAGGTGCATCTGCCTAAGGAAAGGCAAGGGTTGAGTGTGGCTCTGTTCTGCAGCAGAAAGAAGCATGGAAGCATGAGCCTTCCTAGGAGGTCTGGCTTGGTCTGGGCACATCACAGAGCAATCAGGAAGATGTGCTGACACGTAAAACCATGAACAATATTTTTCTGGAAAGGCCAAGCCTCTACCATTAAAAAAAAAAGCAAACCAAACTTGTCCAAAACCATAGATTTAATAACCCCAGATTTGTCAAAAATTCACCAGCAGTGGCAGATCCTGTTTCAAAATATGATCCCATTCTACCTCAACAAAATGTGATAGACCTAAAGCTCAAACTGCACAGAATAACCTTAAGAACAAATTTATGGCCTGCAAATTCTTTCATGTGAAAGGAGATGTATCTTACATCTAGGCGTGTTACGACTCGTTCATCTGTCTTAAGGCAATAGTAGCTGTTGTTTTTCTTGTAGGAGATGTGGAAATCATCAGAAGAAAATTAAGCAGAGCTCATCCTTGTCTGTAAGGCTGAGACTCAAGAATTTCAGAAACCTTTTTTTCTATAGAAATGCTTTATACAGAATCCTTGTGAAGTACAATCCGGAGAGTAGTTGTCTCCCAGCACTGACAATGTCTGCTGTTCCAGAGGAGACGGTGTGTGATGTACCCTCCTGAAATATTGTCAGCAAGCCTGGAAATATGAAGGCATTTTCATAGCAAGGCAGGGATGAAAGGAAAGAGCTTTGGGTTTGCTTTTTTGTTTTGCTTTGTTTCCTAGTCCTAATAAAATCTACCGGTGTGCTCCTAACTTCTCCCCTCCCATTTTGTTCAGCAAAGAAAGGGAACATAATTCTCTAGCAGAAGAGTTTCAGTGCCCAGGAGAGAGGGAGGAAGTACAAATTCCTTCCTGGAGGTGCTGGCTTTAGCCAGAGATGAGTTTTGTATAATAGCAAAGCAGCTCTGAATGCAGAGGTAGGATCAGCATCTCTGTTCTCTTGAGTAGCCTTTACTGTCTCATGGTGACTCTAAACATTCTAATGTCATAGCTCATAGGTGGGGTTGGGGGAAAACTCTCCCACAAAAGCCTCTGTTTGATGACTGAGAAATTCTCTTCAGGATTTAAAAAATGTGGGGTTTAGTGTAACCAGGAATTACAGCACAGGAAAACAAGGAGGCAACTGAGGAATTACACGGCAGTCGAGTAAACACCTGCAGATGACAATTTGCCCTTTTTAAGCACCTAAATTAATTGAGGAAATCTAGTTGTGAATGACCTGCCTGTACATCCTGACCTCCATCCATGTAAACCTGGAACCTGAACCCACCACCAGTGTGTTCAAGATGATTGCACCGTAATTGCTTTGTCTTAATCTGCTCTAAATTCCCTTTTCCCAAGGTGTGTTACAAAAGCTGTTTCTCTTGCGGGATCTATACAGGTGGCATTTTAAAATGTAGTGAACACCCAAATCTACAGAACCTGCTTGTCACAGAAAATGACACAGTTTGCATGTGACCTGTAATGACAGTTGCTAGTTGAAAAGAAACCAGAAATTCAGCTATATCTTCCACACTTTGGTTGCAGCTGCCATCAACTAAATCTCTCTCCAAGGGCAGATGGTGCCCTGTACAATGAACAATTTAATCTTGAGCAAACTTTGCCAAAAAATGCACTTCTTTTTTTTTTTTCCCTCCAAGAATAGGCTGTCAATCACATGTGCTCTCAAATATATTGTGATTTGGTGATTATACTTTATTTATAGCAAAAACCAAACATTCAATGTTCTCTCTCTATATTTTTTTTTTCTAAATACAAGCCTGTGAGCCTTCCAGATACCCCTGTATTGGACTCTGTCTATGTGCAGAAGCGATTAAGAGGGACCAGTTAGGTGTCAGGATACTTTGTGCCCGTTAGGTGTTGTGTGCTCTTTGTCACATGTGCATCCTATGGCACCCTGAGGCCCAAGCTGAAATCCTGGCCTTTCTCAGCACAAGTGGCAGGAATCCCACTCTCTCCACAGCCTAGGTTTTCATTGTGTCTCTCTGAAGACACGGGGAGCTGCAGCCCCCAAATTTTGTCTGACTCCATCTATCAGCAAAATGTCTGAGGCATGTGGGGAAGTGAAATGATTTGCCTAGAGCCATGCACACCAGATCTCTGGGGGCGGGAGCCAGGTTTTAGCACACAGCTCGCTATCTTCCCTTCCTCTCCTGCTACCTCTGAAGGAAATGAAGATGGGTGGAGCATGCATTGCTACTGTCAGCAATGCCAGTTGTCCCTCCTGTGCCATCCCTATACCTGGCATCCCTTCCTTAGCTGCCTGCATCTGTGCAAAGATCTAGATTGCCCAAACTATCAGGAAGGAAAAGATTATTCTTGCTGATTTTTCTCAACCTAAATAGCTCCCTGATCTACAGCACCGTATGGTGGGCACTGGAGAGGATTGGGGCAGCTTCAGCCAGCAGTGCTCACGTCCACCCTTGCTGCATCTTTCATGGAGTCAGAGTAGTTTGGGTTGGAATGGACCTTAAAGCTCATCCAGTTCCAACGCCTGCTACGGGCAGGGACACCTTCCACTAGAGCAGGTTGCTCCAAGCCCCTGTGTCCAACCTGGCCTTGAACACTGCCAGGGATGGGGCAGCCACAGCTTCTCTGGGTACCCTGTGCCAGCACCTCAGCACCCTCACAGGGAAGAGCTTCTGCCTAAGAGCTCATCTCGGCCTCCCCTCTGGCAGGTTAAAGCCATTCCCCTTGTGCTATCACTACATGCCCTTGTAAAAAGTCTCTATCCACACTTCTTACAGGCCCCCTTAAGGTATCATCATTATTATTATTAAGGTGAATGTCTTTCATTCACCTCTGTCTCTTGGGGATGCACCTCATCATTCTTGCTTTTAAGATACTGCTAGATCCTTTTCTAGTCATTCACAGAAGAAAGTGCCTGCTCTCTGGGGAGCTGCTTAGGCTAACATGTCAGCATTTTTGCAAGCCATGCTGTTCAGGTGGATTTGGAGGATCTAACTATATTTGTTCAGGGATGTCTAGTAACCCTAGTGAGCTGGACACTGCTGTACATGTTCAGTAGGTCTAACTGGGCTGCCCAAATATATATATATATATATATATGTATATATAAATATATTTGTACACAAGCTATAGTATTTTTGCATCTCTCTTAGGTCTCAGGTGGCCTGACTGGTTATACATGCCTGCCCACACAAGCATGCCCCTAAAATGTCAGTGTTGCTGTATCTGAGCAGTCCAGCCATGGTGTTTGGTACTATTAGTCCACAGTTCCTGGCAGAGATGGATCGCTGTGTTCACTGCACTGTGCACAATACGAATAGGCATATGCTGAACAGCTTTGCTCAACCAGGGTCACAGCTAATAAAATCTGTCATACAAAACTATATACACAGATATTAGAAGTTTCGGGAAACAAGAAACTCAAAAAAAAAAAAAAAAAAAGAAAGTTTTGGGGTTATTTTGGCACTTTTCAAGCAGGTTTTTCTTTTATATCACAAAGCTGTTGAGCCAGACCAGCTGAGGTTAATCAGCATAACTCCATTGACCTCCTACAGAGAAGGTGTTTTGCACCAGCTACAGATACGTGTTCTGATGCTCTTGCTGCTGAAATCCCAGGGTGTTTTATCTGTCCTTGGCCTCAGACTCTTAACAAAGTATCTTCAACAAAGAGTTTTCTGAGATAAATTCAACTTAATAGCTTCAAGTTTTTATTAAATGTAGTTTCCATCATCCCAGGCAGTGATGTCTCTGAACTCCTCCACCTGGGTGTTACTGCAGCCAGAGAGCTTTGTATTTAAGCAGACACACCCCAGGAACATCTGAGTTAAAGCCCGCATTTCTTTTCCATTATCTTGTCCCACATTCTCATAAGCTTAGGTCACATATGTCTTACAATAAGGCAGACTTTTTTCCACACTTCCCTCTCCACATGTCTGGTGGCTCAGGCTGGATCCACGAAGCCTGGTACCTTCTGCAGGGACACAAGAGGGACCTGCCATGGTGAGTTGTGCTGATGTGTCCTCCTCTCCCCCTGTTCTCTGTTGGGCAGCAGCTAACTGTGACTTCTCTGCTGTAGACAGTGCAGCTTCTTGGCACAACACCCTTCGTTATAAAGAACATTAGGGAGCATTTCCTGCTGTTATCGCATGGAGCCTCTGCATGCATCTGGGTGGCACCCTCAGCAAGAACCAAGAGCTGAAAGTATTAGTTTTCACAAGGGTTATTCTTACCTCTCCCAAAATGTTTCCCACCATGCTAGAGTGTGATTTCTGAAACAAATATGTTCTGTTTATTTATTTAATGTGCTGTTAAATGACCTTCTGTAAAGCTATTACTGCCACAAGGCTTTAAAATGGATGGGCAGGCATAACTTAAGAGAGCATGCTCCTTACAATCAGGATGAATCATTTGAGTAGTTACTGTTTAGATTGATATAATTTTAGTTATAATTATGGGTAACGAGAAGGCATTTAGAGTCTGTAATATTGTAATTCATGGTGAGAGGAGTCCTAAATGAAATAAAATGTATCCAGATTTGCTTTTTCTCCCTATCTAGGTATTATGCACGTAAGCATGATTCTTTAAGGAACAGATTTTCTGCTGCTGTAAAAATCTAGCAAAAGTAGGTCAAAAATGACATCTAGAGATAACATGTTTGGTAACCACAAAGGGACTGTCTGTGTCTTTCTTTTTGGCCTTTTAAGAGTCCTATAACATATTACTATAGGTACAGCAGCAGCATGAAAAGATTTTGATCCATAGACTCCCGCGGCCTGTGGTGGGTGGATCACAGGTACATACTGTCACTTTTATTATCCCATTACACTAATAGAAGATGATAAAATTATATTAGCAAGGATCGGGGAATACAAAAAAGAACATAAACACATAAACCTGCTGTCGTCTGCCTGGCTCTAGAGTACCACCACACCTTGGACTGTGCCACTCAAGTGGTTTGGTGTGCTCCTGCTGAACCCAAAAACCAAACAGTGACAGCAATCCCCAAGTGAAGGGCTTGAAAACCACCCCATGAGCAGACAGCCCATGTCATTTGGTTAGTGTGGCAAAGGAGGCTAGAGGGAGAGAACGAAAGCACGGGGTTTGGCACGTGTGTGCACGCGTGAGTGAGCTCACCACAGCTCTCACGAGCCAGGAGCCATGTGGGGATGAAGCAGCACAGCTGAGCAGTGCTGGTGCCAGCCCGCGGAGGCCGGACACATGGCGATTAGCTGTTAACATGCAGTTGACAGTTGTCTCGGATCGCAGACATGTTTGAGAGCTCCTATTTCAGAAGTTTCACAGCTGTGTTTGTACAGCAAGATCTGAATGAGGAGAGGGAAGCTGTGCCACGGGCAAGGAACGGGAAAGTGATTGGTAGAAGGAATCTTGAGTCCTGACACATCTGCATTAAAATAGATACAACTTTTCACATCTGCTGATGGCTTGATAATTAATGTTAAATAAAAGCAAAGCTTCAGGATCTGCAACTGATATTTCACATATGCTGTACAAGACATCAGCATAATGAACACCCTCAACCACATTTTCATAACATAATTTAAGTGAGAGGGTTTTCTTTATGGTGCAGGTTGAACTACATTTCAACAACAGCCCAGGAAGCAGCAAAGTTTGCCCATCAAGTGCTGTTTAAATGTCCAAGCTGCTATGCCCTAGACTGGGTGACAAGCTCTCCACATACTCCCTGAATCTCTTAGCAACTTGATAATGAAATACATAAACTATGACCCTTATTGATCAGAGCTCACACTAATTAATTTCCCAAAGTCCTGTCCCAGCCTGCAGTGATATCAATGCAAGGGGAAAATAACCCAAGGATGGAGACTTCAGTTGGCCAAAAGACCTCAGGGTGAAGTACTTATCCCATTGAAATCAATACCAAGTCCCAATTGATTTTAATCATGCACGGATAGTACCATTAGTCAAGTGTATGGACGCTTAGCCCCAAAAGTTTGTACAGTTGTCACAAATGGCTTTTATAGCAGTGCTGAACCATACCTGCCTGCACACACAGAGCAGTACAGAGGCTCCCCTTCAGCTCCCGGGTGCCTCGTTCCATCTTAACCTTTCTTCCAGCAGCAAGGCCAGTTGAAGAGGTTTCCAGCCTTCCCCGCTGGCTGTGCAGCCCCAGCCCTGCACTGGGCCCTCCTGCTGGGGATTGTGTCATACCATAGGGTGGAAATCATAGAAAGGAGCAAGGACTGGAGTGGGTTTGTTGCCAGAAGTGTTTGTTGTAGACCTACACTCTGTCCGATGTGCCTCTGTCAGCTCTACCAAGGTTTAACAGTGTCCTTAATGTTGCTCTGTACATGCTACCCTTGTGATGGGGGAGTGACCGGGAGTATTACTAACCTGATTTTACAGCTGGTCTAATACAAAAGCCTAAGGGCCATCGTTGCAATGAATTAAAAAGAAAAGGAGGCAGGAGTTTGGCTTCTCAGTTTTCCAGTCCAAGCCCTTGATAAATATTTCCCACTGGCAGAGAACCAGTACTCTGCAGTTACTTTGCTTCAAACCAAGTCTACTTCCCAGATTTAGCACTTTCAATAATACTACATGCTGCTTAATCGTCCTAATGGCATTCTGGAGGCAGAATTGAATTAATCAGGAGTTGTCGCTCTTGCATTCAGCTGTTTCACCGCTGTCCTTGTTGGCTTATGCTGGACCAGCCCATAGTGTCCCGCATCCATGAGTTAGGCAGATGCTCTGCATGTCAGAGCCCCTACAGAGCTTGGTATGCTCCAAGGCAGGACTAACATGGCATGCCACAGGTAGCTTTCATCCTGGTGAAGGCTGCAAAAATCTACTCAGAAAGGTAAATTCCAGTGCCTGTACCACCTCTGCAGTCTGTACTTGGACCATTTGCAGAAGGTGATTCTGCAGCTGAGAGCTTGGCCAGAAGCAGAGCCAGCTCATGGCATTACCATATTTTAGCTCTAGGCATTGCAATAGTAAGGCTTCTGGATTTCTTTAAAATTCAAACAAGGTGTAAACTGACACAGCTTTGTCCCTTTGCAGTGAAAAATAGTAGCTTTGCAAAGTGTGAATTGCTCTGGAGCCTTACCTCTGAAACCTAAAGACAACATTTTAAAGTGTCAACATGGATTGCTTTTAATATCTTTTAAGTGGACCTAAGGTATTCACCACAATTTCAGACTGGCTTCCAGGCATCCTTAGTTGCCAAAAGTCTCCACATTCAGCTGCCAAACCTCTTCTTCCCTTCCAGCGATTTCTCCATAGCAGGTTTGTGTTGCCAACGCAACACTCCGCATCACTGTGAAAACTGAAAAGGTGAAGATATTGTAAAACAAACCAAATTATGAGCTAAATAACATGAAGTCAATGAGCTTTTTTGTTTTCATATGGAATTCTTTTGAAAGCTGAGTTTATTTTACTTTATTTAAAGCTACTACTGAATTTCCAGTTGATTTAGCCAGAACACAGGGAACACACCGCAGGATTTGAGTTGTGTTTGCTGAAATGTCCATGGCCTTGAACAGATAATATATTTTTCAGTAACATATTTCTCTTTGCCTACTGCTGGTCTTTTTTTCTCTGTGCTCTCTGCAGATTGACTTTCACTGTACTTATTGCCTGCCTCATTTCTCACCCTATTTTTCCAGTTGTTTTTTCTACTGCTTCTCACAGTATCTTTCTCCCAGGTTATAAGCAAAAAAGAACTCTACTTTGGGCTGAACTTTTAAACCCACATCTTGAAATTAAATAAAACAAGCACCTTCTGTCTCTATGTAGAAGCAACTTCACAACTCGAGTCACTTAGCACTTTTAGTAGCTGCAGAATGGAACAGGTCCGTTGGAAGAACGGAGGCTCTTAGCATTAAAGCTGGAGAGGTGCCACAACAACCAGAAATAACACAGCGATAGTCGGGTAATTAAACACAACGTGGGTACCAAGATGTTGAACTCACCATGAGGATTTTAGAGTATATCTTGGCTGGTAGCAGAAAGAAGCTCATTATAGTGTCCAGGTTTAAGTGACATGGGGGAAAAGCAGAGATACAGAGGAACATACTCAGTGGTCCAGGCAGAGCCACAGCATCAGTTAGAGTTTACCTACTAATCCCCACACAGTTACAGACCTGAGGATCTGGGGGTTTTATTCTCACTCCTGTGTCCTTGCTTTTTTTGAGCCTATAGATGGACAAAGTAAAGCAAAGTTGTCTCATTTCCAGAATTTTCTATTGATAAAAGTAGGCATTCAATAAAATCTGGAATAGTGATTGGAAACTTGGTAACAATAGTTATTATAATAACAGTTATTAATATTCTGCTTGCAGGACGAATGCCTTAGTTCCAGCTCTCCAGCCCAGGCTTCCCGCACCCTGCACGGCACTCCAATCCTGACATTGAACTCCCAGCAACCTGGCCCACGAAGACTGCCAAAAAAACTCCAGCTATTCTTCTTCATCCTCACTAACAATTTGGTAATGAAGTATTGATTTCCACTCCCCTGCTTATGGACGATATTAGATTTTCATTGATAAACTGCACTGGGGCTGTCTGGTCTCCACTGTCCCTTTTTGCTGTCACTAAAACAAAGTGCCACTGAAGTAAGATAATGACTGAGAACATTGATGTACTTATTTTGTCAATTTGTAACACTTGACAGGAAAAAAAATTCTTCATAGTTTAATGTCCAAGTGTGCTACACAAGATGCAGTCACACTGGAAGCTTTACTTTTCATGGTAATGTCCATTTCCTATTTATAACCCCTTTGGGATAGTTTGTCTAAAGGAAATGTTTCTATTCTGTGCAGCTATTACTGTTGCACCTGGGTTGCCCAATCCAGTCATTGCACTAGGGATCAATACATCACAGTAAGTACAAGAATTATTAAGTTAAAACAGATTCTGAGCCAAAAAACCTCTGAACAATGTTAATCTTCTGTGCAAGTTGTTCAAATAGTTATGCTTAACCATGTTGCTGCCAAAGATTTGTTTGAAATGGATTATTTTCAGTTTGTTTTATTCCTCAGATATATATATATTTAAATCTCCATTATGGTTTACGATGAGACATATGCAATGGAGTGATTTTTAAAACAAAAGTACTATTATTAGATTATTGAACATTATATAAATATAGGTATATCTATATATAAATATCACTATATAAATATCTATATATAGATATAAAAGAACAAAAGTAGAATTCCTTTCTCAGTTAGGTGGGTGTAAATCTGAAGTTCTCTGTTAGAGTCGGTGGAGTTGCATTGGATTTATGCCACCAGAAAATGAGATCAGAATCTGGTCTTCATGCTCTCCGGCCGACCTGGCACAGATGGGCTGAGAAGCACAGCTGACTTCAAGTCAACCGAGACCTGGGGAGAAGGGGGCTACTAAGATGGCAATTTCAAATTTGTGCTTGTAACTTTTTTCATTAAAACTTGAGGTCCCTGTTTTAATTTGTGGAATATTCCCGTTAATAATGAGATCTAATTAAGACATCCATTAAAAGCCCGTTAAAGTTAATTTAACGTAAAAATTCCAATAGAACTGTATTAGATTTTCTCCATTAAATTAACGTTATGGATTTTTAACGGATGTCTTAATTATACATTATTATTAACGGGAATACTGTATTACACAGATTAAAATCGGGTCCCGAGTCAACTCACAAAATCTTCCAGGATATGCTAATGTCACGAGTCTCATGTTACCTAGTGCACTGCTTGGAAAATCAGGCACAGCCCTTTTTGCTCTCGCTGAGCATTTCCTTGCAGCGAAAGCAACCTCCAGTAGACAAACCCATCTCTGTGTCCAGTGATGAACTTCCCTTATCCTCAAAGGAAAAATAAGTCTGCATCAGGCTGCAAATCACTACTCCATTGCAAATGAAATATTCAAAGTATGCTAGGCACAAGTTGAGAAGAGGATCATTCTCAAATAAGAGAGGGCTTTGGGGTGTCTTTTACTATTGTTTTTGTTTAGATGTTGAAGGATATAATTGCAGTGCAGCATCCACGAAATCAGACTAAACATGTTTACTTCATTCCCTGTGGCTTGTGCAGAAGGACCTGTTTTGGCATTGTTTGGGAAATTTTGACATGATCCCTAAACTCAACATGGAGGAGAAAAAAAAGTCCCTTCTTATTTACCTCCTAGGGAAAGTGTTGCCCTTATGCCACATATAATAGCAAATTGCTTTTTTTATGGCATGCATAACCTAGATGGGAAAAAATATGGCGCTTGAGGGAAGGAGGGAAAAAGTAAATGAAGTTCCAGGAATGTCATTCTGAAGTAATGAGGCATGGACAGAAAATATACCCCTCACATCATCGGATTGAGATGGCAGTCGAAATAGCTTCATTGAAGTGTCAGCACTCATCCATCAATCAATCATCCACAAGGAAAAATAGCGACAGTACAACGGGGCGGCTTTTATGGGATTTACTCATGGGCATAGGGAATAGCAGCTCAAATGTAGTTCTGACATGAAAAGCAAGGTGCTGATATTATTTTTTATGATGGGAGGATCATAAAGTGAATTGAGAACAGTGAGGTCTGTCTTTGCTTAACCTATTCAACTGGAAATGAATGGAGCTCAACTGGAAACGAGCAGAGCCTTCAGATGGGTTAAGATTGAAGCCTGTGCTGTGCTGCGCACCAGCCATTGACAACAAAATTCTATTAAAGCAAAATCAATGCATTAGCACTGAGCCCCTCAGAAGCTGTTAAATTGCACAGCCCAGTTCAGAGTTATTAAGTGAAGTTGCACAAGGTGGGTCCTGTGCCCCAGACCCAAAGGCAGCAAGCACCATGGTAAAATGCCTCCTGGGATAAATCATGTGTGTATCTATCTCCAGCCCCACTCTTTTTTGGATGCTCTAGGAAAAATATTTGGCTTATTGTGGCATCCAATGGGTGACGTTCCCACTGACTTCAGATGACCCTGATCCTGCACCCTGTGCGGGCCACCTGCTTTGGTAGAAACCCTCTGTGCAGTATGCTTTGCTACGTCCAAGCCACATGGATGCCAACATCAGCTGCTGCTGGGAGTGAGGAGCATACTTCCCACAAAAGGGTGGCCCACAGCATCCAAGAATGGGGCTCTTTGGGGCACCAACTGCTCAATGTTGGCAGAAAAGAGGCTTTCCTGGTGCCCCAAACCCAGTGAGCAGTGGGGTGGTGATAGGAAACATGGTCCCACCATCACACATCCCCAGCTGTGCTGGCACCTGGGACACCGCAGCTGAGGACTGGTGCACTCAAGGGAGGTTCAGCTGTCTCAGAGGCATGTTCTGCTCAGGAAGCTTCACTCCAACACAGGCAAGTGTGGAAATAGCTACTTCATTTAAAATCTGGCCACAAACCTTTATTACACAGTGCTAAACCTTGATTATTTTGCCTGCATCGCTGTCTTCTGGGAACATTTTAGGTACATATTTGAATTAAGTGACTTTTTTTTTTACAATATGATATAAAAAAAGTATGTCTCTCCTCTCTCCCTGCATGAAACTGGATGAGTTGATAGTTTATCTGTCATATAAATCAGGTAACACAGAAAATCATTGCATCTTTTCTCTGTCGTATCTACTCAATATCTATCTTTCTGACTTTTATTCTTATTGGAGATCATCAAAAACATTAATTAAAAGCCTGGTGATCAAACAGCCAAATATTTATGATTCAAATCCTTGCTTATTAACAAGCGGCATATTGATACACCACATATCCAAGCTCTTTATGCTCTTGCGCTGCAATAAAGCAGTAAGAAGTGTTATCCTTATGCACTGCTTTGAGAGATTTATTCAGGAACCATAGTTCCCTTCCCACCACCATCCATGTCAAACTAAACCATATCACCTTAACAAACATGCTCTGTTTTAAAAGAGAGAGTTGTAATTAGCATCTCTTTGGAGCCTAATACATAAGAATTTCAGTGAATCACACTCAGGTGTTTTTTCCAGGATCTTATTATTTAAGCTGAGAGGGAGAAGGACACTTACCTTTAAAATTGGCTGTCGTTAGTACAGTAATAATTGTTGGTTTAAAAAAGCTCTCTGAGAATCTACTAACAAACCTGTCCAGTGATTACTTGTCAATGCAACTTGTCACGGGCTTTATTGCCTACTTGTGAAAGTATTTACAAGACTGACCTCCCTAGCTTTTTTAGAGATCATGGAGGATGGAAGGAGTCATTTTAAAAATCAATAATTATGTATTAACATGATAGGGGTTGAAGCCTTCCAAGCCAGTTTTACAGGCTATTGAGTCAGCCATAACACATTCAGATGGCAAGGACTGTTTCCTTCAATTTTTGGTCTTTTTTTCTTTCCCTAATTGTGTCCTGATAAAAAGCCAGATTTATTGCCTAATTAATACCCACAGTTCAGTTCCTAAAGTAGAAAGGGATGTTCTCCATGGCTTTGCAAGGAAAGTGAGCTGCCCTTGGTTAGCAGGAAAGTACGAAAGGAACAGGTTTTGTGCAGGGCAGCTTCTGTGTGAGAGCTACCCAAGGGGACCATTTCCTTTCTGTAGAATTGCCCTCTGCTAATTCCCAGTGTCCCAGTCCTGCCATGAAGGTGCTGCTCTGGTTCAAGCACAGCTGCTCAGGTCAACCAGTTGCTTTGGTCTTGCTGTGAATATTGTCTTGCAACCAAACCTGTTAAGAAAACACAAGGGGATGGAAGATGGCAACCTCATTTTGGCAGAGATTTATTCCCAGGAAAAAAACGACTCTGTTCAGTGTCGGAGGCCAGGCTGGGCTGAGGCCACTGTCCCCTCTCTGCTGCCATCATAGCTCTCAGGCTGGAGAAAGCGCCGTGGCTAAGTGGAGTTGGATCTCGTCACACAGGGCTTTTGCCTTCACAAACAGATATACGATGCAATTTATATTTAAAATTCTCTCTATAAAGACAGTATTGATCACAGATTCCAGATCAATATGTTGCAATTACAGCAGGCTTTAGAGACCATCTGTCCCCAAGCAAGAGCCCTGATATAACCACCTCTATATATTTTGAAAAGCATTACTGATATGTGCCCATCTTCTCACAGTACAGCCTAACATACTACTT